TCCTTGGTATTTAATTAAGGCAAATCCTGCAAAATAATATTCTGTGCATTAGTATCAACTGGGTCGGAGGAATATAACCTATTATAGAAATCACGGGTGAGATGGCGGATTTCCACCTGGTTTTCAGTAACAGTGTCATCAGATCGTTTAAGTTGGGAAATTGCCTTTCGCGCACCCTTTTGCTTTTCTAGATTGAAAAAGAACGAGTTACACATGTCAGAGTTGTTGATAACTTGATGACGAGCGCGTGTAGCAGCACCCCGAGCCTCCACCTTTGTGAATTCAGCGAGCAATTTCTTTTTTTCTGTATAAGTTTGAAAGAGAGACTCGTAATGACGAGCTATGCTCAATGTTTGATATTTCATTTTCGAGTTCAAGCTTTTGGTGCTTATTCTCATTGTGTTTGAAATGACAATAATGCAGCAAGAGCACCTTGATTTTCTGTTTCCCCAAATCCCACCAAGTTTGAAGATTCGCGTAATTGGCGCGGTGTTGCTGCCAGCTAGCCCAAAATTCGGAAATAATTTCCAAATAATCATTGTCATCCAGCACTGATGTGCTCAAGCATCACACTGGGTTACGGTTACTAACGTGTTTGTGTGATAAATGTATACGTACAAGTAAGTGGTCTGTGAATCCCAGAGCAGCATTGCTGATAGAGATAGACTTGATTTTGTTGGATAAAAGTAGTAGTAGTAATACACTTCGTCAAAAACTGGGACTAAAAGTAATTTACATAATTAGGTAAATGAGCAGAAGTGTACTGATTAATGATGTTTAATATCACTTGAATATAAAGACATACAATCAATAAAGGTTCATTTATAAAAATTTCAATTACTGTACCACCAAGTAAATATATGCACAAAGCTCCCTATGTGTAAACAAGTATTTTTATTGGTGATTTTGGTTACATGACTAGTGGCAAGCTTAGTTTAGACCTTAGTTCAGCATGGAATGACAGATGTATAGTTCCAATGTGCCAAAATCATTGTGTTTTCACTGAAGAACAATTATTATAAATCTTGCTAATCAATAAAAAGAAATGTGTCATTGCCACATGACAATGTCTGATGTTTTGACAAGTAAATGATATGACAGGTTACGCAGCAATTTAAACAGATCACAGGTTATTCCTGCCCTGTATGCATATTTATGTCCCAATAAAATTGACCTATAGGTTTGCATAAATTATCTAGTCGCGTGCTAAAGGTGATCATTTTTAAGATCATCTTTTGCTTGATTGACAATTGTACACAGATGATATCTAATTTGTATACTCTAAAATATAGTTTTCTTTTGAATTGTATGTTAAGTAATTTTATTGACATTGCTTCCAATAAAACTATAGTTGAAAACACTAAGTCAAACCAGACAACATAATGCTCCCCAAGGTAAGAGCTCCACAAAGGTAGGGGAATGCATTTTACAGTTTTTGTTTATCACTGTTCATTCTCCAGATATTTACTTTTACAAATATTATGTAGTCATCTTGATTCTCCAGCAAAGGATTGTGGGTAAGGTGTAACATCACATCCACTGTTGTGAAAAATTGAGAAAATGCTTTCATCTATAATGTGAGAGATACTGATGCCAATTTGTACAAAGTTTGGGTGTGCATATAACTCATGTATATCATTATAGTAACGAAAATTGGAATGTTAAAAATGCACATAAAGTGAAGATATTAAACGTAAAAACAAAATAAAAATCATTATTTTAGTCGTTAAAAATAGAATGACACCTTTTAGTCCCCCTTTTGTGGTCAACAGGCAATATATCACTTATGTATCGTACTGACACAGATAAATTGTATACAATATTAGAAAATTTGAGCATTTGGTGGAAAAACACATCTGGGGGTATTATGTTTTTAGCTTTTTTCCTTTTAAGATAGCTTTCAAGTTTGTTGTCTGCATATGTCCCACTCACTTCCCTAGCCATAAAACATCAATCCCATACATGCAAGAAATTTTGTGGAAATTCAATAGAATCAGAAAGCCCTCTAGTGTTTGGTTATGGAGATGTGGCTTATGAAACCATATCCCCCTGTTGAACATTTTTTGTTTTGGGACTTAAAGTAGAATGCTATTAAGAAGTTTTTCACATGTGCACATATTTTCATGCATATAGCAATGACAATATTTTGTGTCAAAAACTTTGTTGGTCCACATCAATATGTTTTTTATTCAAGTTCAAGTAAAATTATTATAGAGTTGTACATGTGTGTATTCTTGTTGTATTTTGCTCTCATATGCCACTTTTTACACTGTGTCTTGATTCTAGATTATATGATGATATTCTTTCTAAATCATCAAGACTAAGACTGGACATAGCATTCTCAAATTCCTGCAAGATATAAGATTACCATCAAATTATACAAATGTTCACCCGAACTGCTATGGGAATACATTGACAAATCATACTATTATACCAAATAAATATTGAATGAATCTAAGAAAAGCTGCTGTACTAGCCAAGTCAAGTAATGCACGCCCATAAGACAAAATGCAGTTAACCACAAAAAAAAGAAATAATATACTCAATAAAAATGTTTATTAATTAAATTGAAAATAGTGAAGGGGTCTTAAAATTGTTTAAATTCATGTTCACAAATAATTTAGAAGATATTCATAGTCATAAGCTTGTGGAATATTATTAAAGTGACTGCAAAACTATGCAAATAAGATAAAATATTCTAAAGTTGATTTTTTTCATGCATATTTTGAATTGCTATTGTGCATTTGGCCACTCCATTTGCTGTGTTT